CTGGGGAAAGCGTAGTTAATAGTTCTTTTAACATCCGTTTCGCCGTTTCCATCCTCAGGACATTCAAATCCTTCTCCTCCATGCCACAACCCCTGATCCGGGCTGGACTTGGACGGGCAACTTTATTCCATGCGGGCGGCTCCCATTGGAGCGCACTGCGGCTCCTAAGGAAGCACACTCGTAACCGGGTGCAGTGAGCACTGGGGGGAAGGGGGGGGGGGCGGTCGGTCTGTCCTGTTGGACAGGCTCAGCCCCGGTGACTCACCAAGGTGCCCGCCCAGACCAATGTCTCCCTCATTTCCTATCATCCTTCCGGCGCGGAAATGGTCTCGTCAGACCAAAAGGGCCTGGGCCCTACCCAACAAAACGAACAAAGCTCTTTTAACGCTCTTTCTGTAAATTGTGCTCATATTTGACCTAGGCCTGTTAATTCTACACCTTTTATGTCGGAATATTTTATGTTTCTACAGCTCTGTAGGCTTACCACCTCTTCCTGCGAAGCCTTTTTTGAGTCGAAAATGGCAGAACATGACGTCATTCTGACGTCATTTGCGGCCAACCTATCATAGCCTCTCGAAAAATTTGGTCATAATGTGTAAAACAGATGCCCGGAGAGGTCCTGAAAGTTTAGTGGCGATATCTGCAGTAATTTAGGAGATAGCTACGGAAGAGGACAGGGGGCCGTTTCGCCCCCTCCCCCTACGGGGCGCGGGTTAACGCCCTTTCAACTCAGGCTACAAGGGCCTTTTTGCCACTTAAGGGCCCTTTCAACCTAGTCAGTCAAGGGCCCTTTTGCTGCGGACCCCCCTGAGAGAAATCCTAGATACGCCACTGGACTTAAAGGGACTATCCCACCTTTAACCCACGAGCCGCTGGGGGGGGGGGCATAAAGTTGCCCCCCCTTTACGTTTTGTGGAATATCTCCGAAACTTGATGAGCTACGAACGTGAAACTTGGCATAGCTTCAAATGAATACCTAGGCAATGTTTGAAGAAAGTTTGGTGGTTGTAGCATCTAAGATGACGTCACAGTGACGTCATAAAGTTTTGTCGTTTTCCGATATGGACCGTTTCTGATGACGCTGAGCATGAAACTCAACTGTAAATGAACTAGACAGCACCTGCTGTCATCCTAAAACATCTAAGTACACTTCCATCTAGTTCCTAACCAATAATCGGCCCTTTATATTCGGTCCCATATACCTGATGTATCGTGAGGAAACTGAGAGTCGGAAATCTATAATTTGACTTATGACGTCACTGTGACGTCATTTCAAATGGGATCGACACCAAATTTGGACACAACCTCGGCTAGGTATTCAGGAAGATGTGTGCAAAGTTTCGCTTCTCTATCTCTTCGCGTTGCGACGATATCGCCGCGGAAGTAAAGGGGGGGCAACTATATGCCCCCCCCCCCAGCGGCCGGCGGGTGGCGCGGAGGCCCAGCGGCCGCCGGGTTAACATGGGGTTTGAGTTGAGATAGCCAAGTTTGCGGCGAGGTTCAGAAACCAGTATCTATCTAGGTTGCAGCCCCCGCGGCCTCTTGGTGTTGAAGAAATTCGTTCCCTTCATTTGAAAATGGGCCTTGTACAAGGCCCTATCTTCAACATGGAGCGACCGTTAGTGTGACGTCACCTCGTTTAGTCATTCTGATTTAAATGGGTTTGTTCGTTGAAAAATCGCTTAAAACTTTGTCTGAACTTTGTTGTGGTGCCTACATAGTAAAAAGAATCAGTTTTATGACAGTAATGTGGCCTGGGGAAGGAGGTAATTTTGGGCTGTGACGTCACATATTTGAAAGTTTGTGTTTGGAATATGGGAAGCCTAAGATGTTTAATGAAAAATAAATGCCAGAACCGTGTTCCTGGTCATCCAATCTATAAAGTCGGGCACAATTTAACTGGTTTTAACAACATTTTAGAAGGTGGGATAGTCCCTTTAACACCGCTATTACTAGAAAAATGTTGAGTATCCATGACAGATTGGATAATGATGTAAATGATAAACCAATTAGTACAAATCAAATACATTCAAAAACACACAACGCTTTCGGCTTCAAGAATCAACAGCCCTGGTCACTGGTCAGAGGTAAAGGTTAAATGGGTACAAATATTCACCGTAACCGTCTAAAACTCTTCAAATTAAAAATCACGTGTTTCTTCTTTTAGTGGTCTACTGCCGATTTTGCTGCCATCGATGACAAAGTAATGAATCCGTTTCTACTATTGAATGTATCCCGCGTAATAATATAAGCGGCTTTTAGGATCTTCCTCGTAGATTTCATTTCTTCATGTTCTTTTCTAATATTGCCGTAATCTCCCAATCAGGTAAGTGGTTGCATTGTTCTATGTGTAGCACTATCGCGTTTGAAGGACGATGGAATTTTACGTCGCTTTTATGCTCTTTCAAACGAACATCAACCCCCCTTCCCGTTTCTCCAACGTAAGTTCTTGGGCACCCCTTGCACGGTATTTCATTAACTACACTTTTAGCATCACTTTTCTTTGTGTTTTTACTAGTTCTTGAATTTTCTTTCCTGTCACAGTGGCTACTTGTATGTCTGACTTTTCGAGTGTCCTTGATATAATGTTGATGTTCTTTGAGTTTGGCACTGAAATCCACCTTCGTGTTTTGTTCGCTTTTCGTTTTCTAGTAGTGTTCGTATCCTCATATTGTGGTTGGTTCGCATGTCGTTCGTGTCTTCTGTTTACTTCATTGCTTTGCTGATCGTTTTTTTTTTCTTGCTCGTGTCTCCTGTTTTGCTCCTTTCTTCGATTTTTTATTTTTTTCGCCTTTTCTTTTTGTCGATGATTGAATGATTTGTCAATGATCAATGATTTCATTGTGCAATGTATCGATGGTTGATTTCAAAACGATTGAATCATTGTCTTATACGATTTTCTGTTTGTCCAGAATGAATGGTATAATAGAACATGTGCGCTAGTTACAGCACTAGCTGGCTGTGGCACTCACCGTGATGTCTGAGCAGCAGCGCCTCGGAGTGGCTAATTAGCTGGCAGCAGCTCTCCAGCTGGACGTCCACGGCGAACTGGCCACACAGCGAGACGGCAAAGTCGACCAGCAGCGGCGCACCGCGATCACCCGCAGCCAGTACTGCCGACAGTCGCCCACCGTCACACACACACAGTCGCCCACCGTCACACACACACAGTCGCCCACCGTCACACACACACAGTCGCCCACCGTCACACACACACACACACACACACACACACACACACACACACACACACACACACACACACACACACACACACACACACACACACACACACACACACACACACACACACACACACACACACACACACACACACACACACACACACACACACACACACACACACACACACACACACACACACACACACACACACACACACACACACACACACACACACACACACACACACACACACACACACACACACACACACACACACACACACACACACACACACACACACACACACACACACACACACACACACACACACACACACACACACACACACACACACACACACACACACACACACACACACCACACACACACACACACACACACACACACACACACACACACACACACCACACACACACACACACACACACACACACACACACACACACACACACACACACACACACACACACACACACACACACACACACACACACACACACACACACACACACACACACACACACACACACACACACACACACACACACACACACACACACACACACACACACACACACACACACACACACACACACACACACACACACACACACACACACACACACACACACACACACACACACACACACACACACACACACACACACACACACACACACACACACACACACACACACACACACACACACACACACACACACACACACACACACACACACACACACACACACACACACACACACACACACACACACACACACACACACACACACACACACACACACACACACACACACACACACACACACACACACACACACACACACACACACACACACACACACACACACACACACACACACACACACACACACACACACACACACACACACACACACACACACACACACACACACACACACACACACACACACACACACACACACACACACACACACACACACACACACACACACACACACACACACACACACACACACACACACACACACACACACACACACACACACACACACACACACACACACACACACACACACACACACACACACACACACACACACACACACACACACACACACACACACACACACACACACACACACACACACACACACACACACACACACACACACACACACACACACACACACACACACACACACACACACACACACACACACACACACACACACACACACACACACACACACACACACACACACACACACACACACACACACACACACACACACACACACACACACACACACACACACACACACACACACACACACACACACACACACACACACACACACACACACACACACACACACACACACACACACACACACACACACACACACACACACACACACACACACACACACACACACATGTTTGTAAGGTGCGGCATAGTGGTGCCCATGTTGATTTACAGCGGAGTGGGGACCGACTTTAATTTTTTATTTGTTGTGCTAGAATAAATTTGGTTACATGGTTATGCTTCTCTCGGGTTACCGATTCAGATTGCATACTTCTTAACGGGATCAATGTGGAATTGGACGATGTTAAAAACGCAGCTTAGTGGGGCCCGGGCTGTATGACGTATTAATGACGTCATACATCGGTCCCCACTTCGCTGGGTATGACAATACACACTCATATACATACATACTAGAGCTACGAATTTCATCAAGAATAGAAGCCAAGGTCAAACCCAGCACCTCGGTTTTTTATCAAAATACTTTGCAACACCCCACGCTATATATTATCAAATATCAGCCACTCAAGTCAGCATACATGATCAAATGATGATAGGTATTGGATGGCAAGCTAAGGGCAATAAAAAAACATCACCAGGAGCTGCGTACACCGAATTTCACCACCATAGGCATCTTTGTCACCACACCTTCGCTTCCATGAATGTAGGCAATTAACATGAATGTATGCCTAAACCTTGAACCTGAATCTCGAGCCGCAGTCAAAGGTGGCAGAGCGCAAGTAGGCGCACATACGCCGCGGCGGCCGACTTAAAGCGCGCGTGGGGCGGTGGCACCAATGGACGGGCGTCTTAGCGAGCGCGTGGCGGCATCGGTGGCGGTGGACGGCCATCTTGGCGCACGCGCGCAGCGACGGCAGCAGCGAGCGGCTGTTTTGGTAAGCACTCGTCGGCCAGCTGGACGGGGTCGGAGCTGGCCAGATTCGCCAACCGGAACTGATGGTCGTCCGACGCCGTCTTCAGCACAACCACAGACAGACTCGCTGTCCAGCGCCTCAGTGTCTTCGTCTGGTGTCACACAGGGGTGGGGCTGTGTTATAATACAGGCTGGCACAGGGGAGTAGTTAGGTCAAATACCGACTTGACACGAGGGAGGCGGCTGGGTCAAACACCGAGCTGACAAGGGGTGGGGGCTGGGTCAAATACCGACCTGATACGGGGAGGGGGCTGGGTGAAAGAACAAGCTGACACAGAAGAGAGGCTAGGTCGAACACACCGAGATGACACGTGTAAGTAGTTAGGTCAAATACCGACCTGACACGATGGAGAGGGCTGTTTATTTGTTTGTTTGTTGGGGGTTAAGGGCGCGCCGACTGCAAGGTCATTTTGCGACCATTACGGAGGTTTCAAATACGTCTTTAGTTACTTACTAATTTATGTTTAATGCTGAGGAAATGAAAGTAACGGGAAAGTTGGCTTCGCGGATAAAGGAAAATACCGTTATGGATCCAGCGCGAGTTGTCTGAGATAAGATTTATGAGAGTCACTGTGGGCACAAGATGCCCGAGGTGGTGTGATCGCATCCCGGAAAGCTGGCGGCACGTCAGCAGAACATGGGCCACTGTGAGTTGCTCCCCACAGTGGATACATGGAGGGGGCTGGGGCGAACACGGAGTTTTCAACGCAAAGGTGGTTACTCGACAGCCGAACAGGGAATGCTGGAGAGTCAGTCACCGCAGGAGTCAAAACGGAAGGGAACTGACATTATAGTTCGTTTTTTTTTTTTAGTTCGACCCTCACTGTATGTTGAACACAGGACGAGAATCGCTTACTGAATTACTGAGAAAACTAGTTGGCGCACACTTATCACAGACGATCAACTTCATCTGAAATTATTCCTAACTGGCGCCCATTTCATGCAGACTTACAGCTCGTATTCGCCCATATTTAAAACTCAAAAGTGATACATAACTTGTCTAGAATTATAACTGAATCAATTACTAAATCGCAAGACATTTGACATAACGCTATACCATCACGGGCGTCGCCACCGGGGGAGCCAGCAGGGGCCGGGTACCCCAACTTTGCTTGAGTTGGGGGAGGGGGGGGGGGGGGCTGGCCCTCACAACTGTTTTGGGTTCTGGGGCTAATTTCATAAAGCTCTACCGTAACTTACACTTTTCCATAATTAACGCCCTTTCAAACTAGGGAGCGCAATAGAAGCGGTTACCAGTGTCTAAAACTTTCTAATTTTGAAGAGAACTTAAATTTATTTATTGACATGATGCAATTAACCAAATTGCATCATGTCGCATATCATTCGATTCGGCTGATCACAAGGAACACAATAACGCCATTTTTTGAAGCTCTAGCCTCATTGTTTGCTGCCTAAATTATTAGCAAAAACGTAGTTTGACCTTATTTGACCTCAGACGACCCGACCTAAGTGTTTTTTTTTCCAGCAAACAAACACCAATTTCATCCGCAATTGAGCTAAACTGAGGGATTACAACACAAAAATGCCAAAATGGAGCATATCTTTACAATTGGAGCTATTCGCACAAACTTACTTAGAACTTGTCGTGACCTCTAGATGACCTCGGGTCACTCGAACTTCAAAAACCTGGATGTATAGTACGTTATACAACTCGGTAAGCTGAGCATACCCCGCCAGTTTGAATCAAATCGATGGACAGCTCTAGATTTCATTGACAAAATAGCGTATTTCCAGTGCCATTTTGACCATGTACCGGTTTTTGTGACCTTGTGACCTAACCCGAAGCCACTGGAACACAAAACTCCCAGGACACGTGTCAAATGGCTGCTCCAAGTTGTGTTTGAAATTTGGTGGCGCTAAGTCCTGCGGTTCTTACGCTATGAACGATAAACTTAGCGATTCCGTTGCCGCTTAGGTATAGTCAAATTTTACTCTGCATTGTGCCGGTTTCGGTGACCTGGTGACCTGACCTAAAATGATAGAGACCTGAAATTATCAGGGAAGGTGCCAAAAGGTTGCCTCAGAGGGACTGCAAAATTTAGCAGCGCAACGCGCCGCCGTTTTTACGTTATTCGCGAAAAACATTAGGGGGTTGCATCAACCCCCTCGCCCCGCGAGGGTTAAGGGGAATAGTTTCTTTTCCTGACTTTTTTTGCAATAGATTTATGAATGTTTATGCTCAAAATGATCAGCAAAAAAATAAAACCTATTTATTAAAAATATGTTCTACCTATATTAAAATATAGGCAGAACTACATTAGGTATAAAATATTGTTTGACGCGGTCGAGGAAGCTTATTACGCGTTGACCCCAATTATATTGCATAGTTCAAACCCATTGGCTGTAAGCAGCAGGCTAATTGGCTGACGCTGAACTGGCTGCATTATAGGTATTTCTTCAATTAAGGCACACTTTCATCATAAAGGCACTTTTTCAGGACGAGAAATGGAATATCTTTGCCTAGGGTGATCGTTGGGACGTAAAAGCTCCTGGTTTGTGCTTTTCTCAGCTCAAGCTATGGAACTGCTATTCCAGTCAAACCCCATGTTAAAAGTGAAGTATTTTCTTTAATGACCAATAATTTGAAAAAAAAATAGGTGTATAAAAACTTTTGGGACACCCTGTAATTACCCAACGTCGCTGGCGGTACATGGTACGGTACACAATTGTCGCACAACTGCTATACGAGGCTCGAGATTTCCCCACTAGCCCCACAACAGATGCACCAACTATCAGCCGAGCCATTTCAACATACACATCTGGGCGAACATGACCTAGCTTCCTTCGATACCCTCCCCCCCCCCACACACACAGTACCCACCTGTTGAGCATCATCAGCTGAGATGTGGATCAGCGGTAGCTCTGTCCGCAGGTGCGTAGCTCCGGGGCCACTTCCGCCGCCAGCTGTTGATGTCGTTGTTGTTGTGTCCCCACAGCTACCGCCGTAGCCAATACAAGCCTCTTATCGGCCTCGTAGCCGGCGGCTAAGGTCACCACCACGTCGTCGCGCTTGACATCGAGGGCCGCGCCGACGATGTTCCCCAGCGCACGCAGCCGAGGGCCGTAAAAGCACGGGCACTCCGGCAACACGTGCGCTTAGGTGTCCACTGCTTCACCGCAGACCAGGCAGCGGCCAGCTTGGCATTCATTGTCGTTACATTAGGCGAACTCGGACATTGATATCCTCTCAATCCGGTGAAGATACTGCTCCGATCATCCCCAGTGGCCCGACCAGAGCTGATGAGTGTCAACAGCCTCCTCCCTGGTAGCGGCTCGGACCAGCGGTCCCTTATAACGATGCAGTACCAGCCAGTTGGACAGTCTGCTTGCCACCTCTCCCTGGTGGACCGCGCGACAACTCGCGGACGGACGTGAGAGTACGGACATCGACCTGGGATTGTCTGCTGGAACAGGCCAAACAAAATAATCATTATTGGTCAGAGGGTTGACTTCGCAGCCGAAAAAAAGGCGCTGTACATAGTCAGAACGGCGTCCTCACGGGATAGAATATAATCTGTCTGTCGCTGAGTGAAGGGCACCGCAACAGGACGGAGGTGAAACTTGGTAAAAAAGTAACACAAAATGTTTGTGTGAAGTGAGTTGTGGGGGAGGGATGCATCGTTGGAAGACACCAGGGAGAGACACCGGGCTCCGGCGGCGCACGGCGGCTCGGCCAAGCACACATCGTACAGGAGGCGGCGTGGGTCGTCCTCGCACGGCGCAGCCAGCCGAGCCGTCGCTTGCAGTCGCACAAGAAGCCACCCACAAAAAGTGCATGTGATGTTACTTCCAGGTAGCACATGTGGTCAAATTATAAGTTCGCTTTGGTGCTAAGACCTTTGCTTGCGTTATTTTCAATTCAATCATGATTCATGAATGGTATCTATTAATGAGATCTGATGACAAATTGTATTGTCATGGGATAAACAATGGGAACTATTTTTAATTATATTCTTTTAGAATGGCTACACGTGTTTCGACCAAAAATATCTTTTTCAAGCCTTAATATCCAAATGACATTATTTAAAACATTGGCCTAAATACATCTCATGCAAGTCAATAAAGTGACATAACTGATAGTAAATTCCTTCGAAGAAACATGTCGCATTCTATGTCGCACCCCTGTACGCCAGATCCTTTTCAAGTAGCTGAGCCGCGTACCTACTGAGTTTCACTTTACCAACACTGCCGTTCAAAGTTGAAAGTGTAGAAATGAATGCTGCCTCTAAAGCCTGTCTATGTTTCTTTTGGAACTCTTTACACAAAATTGAAGTTCCGTTCCAGTCTGGAAGGTGACCTGCCGCGTCGACATGCTGTACAAATGCATTAGACAGTCTATGATGCCTAAGATCGCTCTTGTGCTCTTTTGTCCGCGTATCTTTGCCTCTAAATGTTTCGCCTATGTAACTTGTATCGCATGCACCACACGGAATTTTGTAAATCACACTGCCCTGGTTCTCGGTGGCTTTCTTCTTTCTTGACTGAACGAGGTTCTTGACCGTCAGACCGACTGGAGATGAAATATTGAATGATCCTTCCACAAATCTTCCTGTAACTTCAGCTTCCTTTGGCGCCAGTATCAAGAAGTAGTTATTTTTGTCGTTTCTTCTTTCTCCTGCCCTTCTTCGAATTTTGATCGCCTTCTTTTCTGAACCGCAAAGATCTCAAAGACAAGAACCTCGCAAGTTTTGATGTCAAGGCGTTGTTTACCAACGTGCCTATAGCTGGGGCGACTCAAGGGCACTGGACCAGAACCCAGACATCATTCTGCCAGTGCCCAAAGCTGATTTCATTCGGCTAGTACGTCTCTGTGTGGAGTTCGGCGCCCTCGAGTTCGAAGGCGCTGAATTCAAGCAGATTGACGGACTGGCGATGGGGTCACCTTTGAACCCGGTACTCGCCTGCATATTTAGGAAACGGTAGAAGCAGATCACTTTCTACGCATAGCCGGAACCGATACTATCTGGTTCCGGTATGTCGACGACATCTTGATCATCACAAACAACGACAAGGATTTGATGTCTTTGCTTGGCCAGATCAACAACGTTCACCCAAAGATACAATTTACCTGCGAAGAGGAAGATAACGGCACGCTAGCATTTTTGGACACGCGTATCTGGAACCGTGGTAAAAAGGCGGCGTTCTCAGTTCACAGAAAGCCGACCAACAAAAATGACCTAATTCACTTCTACTCAGCCCACAGAAGCCGAACGAAAACGGAAGTGGTATTGGGCTTCTATCTACGGGCCTTTCGTATTTGCTCTAAACAGTTTATAAAAGAAGAGTTAGCCTACATCAAGAAAGTATTTATTAAGCTCAAGTACCACCAGGCCTCCTATATAGTTTAGAAAAGAAAGCTATCAAAATTCGAAGAAGGGCAAGAGATAGAAGAAACGGCAAAAAGAACTACCTCTCGGCACCGGCATCAAAGGAAGCTGAAGTTATAGGAAGATTTATGAAATGATCATTCCATATTTCATCTCCAGCCGGTCTGCCGACCAAGAACCTCATTCAGTCAAGAAACAAGAAAGCCACCGAGAGCTAGGGCAGTGTGATTTACAAATTCCGTGTGGTGCATGCGATAAAAGTTACATAGGTGAAACATTTAGAGGCATAGATAGCACAAGAGCGATCTTAGGCATCATAGACTGTCTAATGCATTTGTACAGCATCAGGCACATACCCATGATTTTGCCCAGGAGGGGGCTACCTGCTCTCAAAGGGGCCCCCTGCCAACCCAGGCAGGGGCAGTAGCGGCGGAACACCTTCAATTAAGGGGGGGGGGGGCACTGCCGACTTTTGGTTCCATTCTTTCCATGCAACGCCCATAGGGCTAATGTTAAAATGCCAAAATTAAGGGGTGGCACGGTACCCCGGTGCCCCCCGTTCCGCCGCCTATGGCAGGGGGCGTGCCCAGAACCTTTCATGGGGGGCTGGGTATAGTGGGCCCAGTCCTCCCTTGCAGATGGGCCCATCTGTAACGGTCTTAGCCCTAAGAAAATGTGGAAAATTGGAAGGCGAAAACGTCATTTTTGCCTGAAAGGTATGCATAAAATGCACATAATTTTATGAGCGAGCGTAGCGAGCGAACGCCTCAGAGTCGCCGGTGTGGGTCCCTCGCACCGGTCTGGGGCGCTCAGAGGTGCCGGTGAAAGACCACCAGATGCAATGGTGTGGGGTCCTCACAGGCGCCGTTGTGGGGGCCTTAGGGCTTAGAGACACTGGTGGGGGCCATCATAGGCATGTGTGGGGCCCTGGGCTGAAAGTTACTCGTGGCTCTTCATAGGCCGACAAGGGACCCTCAGAATCCGGTCAAAAGCCCTCAGAGTCGCTGGTAAATGCCGTCAGATGCGCTACCGGAGGGCTCTCAAAGGCGCCGGTGTGGGGGCTCTTAGAGTCGCAAATGTGGGCCTTCAAGAGGCACTGGTGTGGGGCGCTAAAAGCCGCCATCCACTGCTTGAATATGAGCTGAATTTAACGTTGGGGTCTATGAGCTGCGCGCCGAATGCCGTTCAGCGCCGAATGCGCGATTCAGCTGATTATTCGCCGGCTGTTGGGCGTCGAATCATGCGCTGACGACTCAAGATTACTTTACTTCTCCTGACGACTTAAACTACTTCAACTTTTCAGTGCGCACTAGGCATGGACGATTACGCGCAAAATACGCTCCTAACCAATGGACGGCGACCTTTAGAGGTGGCGGTGAGGGCCATCGCAGGCGCCGTTATGAGGGCACTCAGAAGCACTGGTGTGGGTAGTGGGGCCATAACAGACGGATGTGGGGCTCTTATAACTGATCCCTCATTGGCCAGCTAGGCCATCGGAGGCCGGCAAAGGTTCCTTAGAAGCGAGTGTGGGGCCCTTCTGGAGATAAGTGTGGCTACATTAGAGCCCACGAGTTGCTCTCTCAAGCCCTGCCGCGTCCTTTTCAATTGAAGGATGGTCAGCGTGGACCCTCTGCCGCCAATTGACACCACAGGGCCCCTCGGGCCCGGGGGAACCTAAACCCGATAACGGGCACATGCCCACTAGCCCCCTGGCTATGCCACTGAATCCAAGTGATCAGGGACCCCCTTAATCAGGGGCGTCTCAGGTGACTAGGGGACTTTCAACTGACCGGATCCCACTAGGTGACCAGGGGACCCTCTTATAAACAGGGGCCAGTTATATCAGGGGCACCTCTGGTAAATAAGGGCCTTCATATGGCTGCAAGGGCCTTGCAGATAACCAGACACTTCCCGGGTAAACACGGTCCATCAGGTGACCGACCAAGGTTACTTCAGACCACTGCCCAGTGGCCACCCAGGTGATCAAGGGCCCCGCAAGTAAGAAGGAATCATCATATAATCAGGGGCCCGTCAAATAACCAGGTACCCCTCAGATAGCCAGGAGCCCCTGATATTCAGGGGCCCTCATGTGACAGGTGGCCCCTCAGGTGACCAAGAGGTCCCTCAGCTGACCTAGAGGCCCATCAGGTGACAAGGGCCCCTCAGATAGCCAACCAGGGGCACCATATAGGTGATCAGGGGGGCACTGAGGCGACCAAGAGGCTCTTCAGGTGGTCAGAGGCCCTCAGATGACCAGGGGGCCCCAAAGTGACCACGGAGGTAACCAGGGGGCCCTCAGGTGACCAGGGGGACCTCAGATGGTCAGGATCCGCTCAGATGACCAGGGGGTTCTCAGGTGACCAGTGAGGTAACTAGGGGTCCCCTCAAGAGATCAGGGGCTCCTCAAGTGACCAGGGGCCCATCAGGTAACCAGGGGGCCTCTCAGGTGACCAGGAGGTCCCTCAGATGATCAAGGGTCGCTCAGATGACCAGGGAGCCCCTCAGGTGACCCAGTGATGTAATTAGGGGGCCCCTCAGGTGACCAGAGGTCCCTCAAGTGACCAGGGGGCCTCTCAGGTGACCAGGAGGCCCCTCAGGTGGTCAGGGGCCCCTCAGATGGCCAGGGGGCTCCTCAGGTTACCAAGGGCGCCTCAGGTGGTTAAGAGTCAATCAGTTGACCAGGGGGCCTCTCAGGTGACCAGTGAGGTAACCAGGGGCCCCTCAAGTGACCAAGGGGCCCCTCAGATGGCCTAAGGGCCCCTGAGGTGACCAGGGGACCCCTCAGGTAACCAGTGGCCCTCAGTTAGGAAGGGGCGCTGTGGGCTCGTCACTGTGACGGAATTCCTCTTCGATATTTTTTCTTTCTTTCGAGTAAAAGACGTTCTGTCTAGTATTGGAATTAAGGCACGTCCACCAGAGTTCTCCCTGGACCGCAGGGGCCCCCTCGCGCCTTCGGCGCTCAGGGGGTGGGGCATGGCCCCCTTGGGTACATTACTGTACAGCATGTCGACGAGGCAGGTCACCTTCCAGACTGGAATGGAACTTCAATTTTGTGTAAAGGGTTGCAAAAGAAA